GGCCAAAAACAGAGAATTTTGTGCAGAATCATTCAATTCCATACACAAATAATAGTTATTTTCTAATTTATGAAATGGACTCCCTTCCCTAGAGTATGTCTTATTTACAATCTTGACTCTTTTTTTCCTAATAATTTTCATCCTTCCTTTGCTTTACTTCAACCATGTGAAGATCCGTCGAGGTTATTCTTAGAGCATTCTCACTAAAAAATCCGTCGAGGTCGGACTCTCCACCATGAATCCTCATTTAAATGGTTAATACCTGGCCTAGAATCCTCGTTTAAATGGATAATTTTTCATTAAAAATTCTTAAACTTCCTAAATGGAACAAAAACTACTGCAAAGTAAACTATCAACTAATCCATACATAAGAAATGAGATGGTAGTCATGGTAATTAAAGCATTGGACAGAATTTAGATTGTTAACATCTAACCTCATATAATCGGTAGCTTCTATTTGGAAGATCGAACCATCAACAACTTTCCTTTGATGAATGGCAACGCGAAGAACAATCTTGTTCTTGTTATTATCTGCCAACGACCATTTATCGGACGGTTTTAGCAGATTCCTCTTTGTTCTTCCACTAAATCCCAATCGGGTTATATTTTTCAAGTTATGAACAAACTTAACCTTCTAGCCTTGGCTCCAGATTTGATTATGGATTTCAAGCAATGTGCTCCGCCAAAGTAAGAATCTTTACGTGCTTTTTCTTCCTGAGTTCATGAGGGACTGGGCCAAACACTCTTGTCCCAATAGGTTGGCCTTGCTTATCAACAACTACTACAACATTATCATCAAACTTGACCTCGCTACCATCACAACGACCTTTTTGCATTGCAGCTCGAACAACCACTCCATATACAACCTTTCCTTTCTTCACTTTTCCATTTGGATGGGCTTCCTTCACGGATGCGACGATTGTGTCTCCCAGTCGTGCTCCTTTCTTCCCCTTCAATGCTCATCACTTTCTTTGCCCCTGAGTTATCCACTACTTTGAGCACAGTCCTCATCTGTATAAATGTTCTTTGTTGCTGCACAAGGTTGCTTCCTTAGCATTTTATGCCACTTGCAATGATTCAAAAATTTCAATTTCTCCACATTATTAATTATCCTCCGAGTAAACATGAACATGTGCATAAGCAAGCAGAAATTCAGATTATGAACAATGAGATTCTTTCCTTAGCGCCTATGCTCATGCATGTGAGTATAAACTAGTTAACATTACACGTAAATTTCTTTCCATTGATTCTCTTTTTAGGGGTCGAAAGTCAAATGAGAAGATTAAAATTCAGAGAAGCAGACCTGCGAAATGAAACTACTGCATACTGTCTCACTTGATGAGCTCAATGAACCAGAAAAATTGTTTCCAAGTCCACCCAATAATGAACGACCAACTAGTTTAATTTTTCAGAAACATTGAACATGAAACAATGACCAAAATTAGTTTCTCAACAACCAGAAATACAAAATTAAATTGAGACAAATATATATGATGAGAAAAATCAATTAAGAAAAGAAAAAAAAAAAACAAAAAAAAACAAGCATCTCCGAAGCTTAATCAAGTAAAATCAAGGTTCAACACAAGCAAAAAGATCTTAAAAGAACGGATTACAGAGCCTCTAGCAGTAGAAGCTCTAATTCAAAGAACAAAAGAAATTCCAGTATTCACACCAAGATCTTTCAGAAAACCGCATACCGCGGGAACACTTGGAAGCAAAAGAAGCAGCAGCCATATCCGAACTTTGATCACCACAACACCGCGGGGAAAGAGACGAAGACGAAAACGAACGATGGCGACAAGAACTCGGGAGCTTCTGCCGTTAGGGTTTTTGGACTGGGTTTGACTCACGACCCATAATCCTAAATGGGCCACGGCCCAAAGACCATTTTTAAGACCTAACGTAATAATTTTTGGATATTTTACCGCCATTTAAGCCAACCTTAAACACGGAATTCAAAATTAAAATTTTTATTACATTTTAATATTTTAAAACTTTAATTTAACCAAAGTTTAAAAAAAATGGTGTGAAAAATAAAAGGTTTTTATGTTGGCATTCAGAAGCGAACCCACACGCTCTCGACACCGACACGTGCCCCTGCCTCGAGCGTGCCATCTTCTGGGCCCCACCAGCATTCACCAATCACCACCCTCAACATCTACATCAAACCTATCTCCTTAGCTTCTTTTAAAATAATAATAATTTTTATTTTTATTATTAAATTTGAATATTATTTTGTTGAAACTTAAAATAAGAATAAGTTAAATTACAGTTGGGCACCAAAAATTATAAATAATTATGCAAATGGTGCTATGGTACGTAAAAAAAAAAGGGATTTTGAAGGGAGAGTGCATAAATATATTTTTTTAAAAATAAAATAAATAAAAGTGGGTGTATTATAAAAATAGAAGAAAATATTGTTGGTGTATTATTTTAATGTCGGCTTCTTTTTACCCGGCAAGTGATTCGTTTTTGGTTTCCGTGTACACGCCCTTGCATTCTTATTATTTAAACCCAATTGTTTATTAATCATCATTACCAACGTCTTACGGATAATTAACCTCAATTTTATACCTTTTTTAATTTCTATAATTATTTATATCAATCCTTACCTTTTCAAAAGTTATATATATATATATATATATATATATATATATATATATATATAGTTACGGTAACAACTCAAGTTCACAACTAATAAATATTAGTCGTTTTGGTTCGTTGTGAATCGTTGTAAACTTCACAGTTTTCAAACGCGTTTATTAGGAAGAGGGACAAGTTTTCACACTCTTATACATAATAATTCGTTCCCCCTTTCCAATCGACCTGTGATCTCGCAATCTATGCTTTTCGGCGCAAGCACCCTCGTTGGTACACTTGGTGTCTGACTTTGATACTATTTGTAACACTCGAAGTCTATCGCTAGTAGATATTGTTCGCTTTGGCTCATTATGATAAAAAAATTTGTTCCCCTCTCAAATTGTGAGATGTCACATCGGTTTGAGAGGGAAACGAAACATTCCCTTATATAAAGATGTGAAAACCTCTTATTGATAAACGGCTCGTGAGGATACATAACGAGTAGAAACAAACAATATCTATTAGTAGTGTTAGGTTTCGGTTTGGACAGTTACAATTATTTCTTTAATTGATAATTTATATTTTATATTATAAGTTTCTATTGAAACTTGTAAAATGTTTTATTAAATCTCATAATATAATATAATATTATATAAAGCATATTTTATAATTTAAATTTAAATATTTACCAAATATGGGAGCAACAAGACACATTATTGGTTGTACGGATAGTTTAGTTTATATCCTAATTAGCAATGGAATATCCCAATTACCAGTACGTTAAATTCAATTAATTAATCCTCCTAATTAATTAATTATATATCTAATTCCTCTATCACGAAGTGTTTAAAAAAGTATATAAAAAATTAACATAAACACGAATCTTTTTCCTCCACGAACACCACTTTTAAAACACCTCTCAATTAAACCCTCATTTGACTCATAATTTACGAACGATGCCACTACAACATCATTTTTTTAACCTAATAATAATATATTTCATGCGAAGATATTATAATTCAATTTATATTAAGCTTATACATCTCCATTTTATATATAAATTCCATTTTTAAATTATAATCTACATTTTTTAAAAATTTTCATTATAATGGCTAATTAAATTTATTAAATTAGGAATATATTTATTATACGCCAATGAATTTAAGCTAGTATAGTTTAATAGGTTTAAATGCAATAAATTTATTACCCATTCAATGCATCTTGATGTAATAAAATGTACATCCCCTTCGACCATTGACTAAGCTTAATCCAACCCATTCAGGCTATTCAATCCAAATTCGGCCGAACCTAAAACACAGAGTTTCAATTCTACTATATTTTTTAAAATATATTAAAAAATATTTAATATTTATAATTGATATTAGTGATGTTGTAAAATGTTTAATATTTAAATCTTACTAGATTTTAATTATTAATATAACATATATGATTGATAAACCTTAGTTAGAAATCTTAGCCTAAAATATAGGAAATTGAGTTAGGGTGTGAGTTTTGTTTGGATTGTGGAGTCAACAGTCCAACCAACTTTTTTAAATTATAATAAAGAAAAAAAGAAAATCAAAATTATTGTCGTGGATAAGAATGTGGACATCTTATTATGGACAACGGAAAAAACTGATGACGTCATCCACATGATTCGATCTTGAAAAAAAGGCACAATGTTTCTATTTCTATCTTGATTGAAAAATGCGGAAAAAAATGGAGGAGAGAGAGACACAGTTTTTAAAAGTCAAATTTATTTACTTTAAAAATTTATTTTTTTTTTAAAAAAATCCAAAGTACTTGGAAATTGGAAATTGACACAAGCTACGTGCATTCCAATCTAAATTTAAATTAATTTCAATTATATAAATAATTTGTCAATTCGGTTGATAATTTTGATCATATTTTTCTATAATTATTGAATTAAAAAAATATATAAAGAACTAAAAAGGATCCAAATATAATAATTAAATTAACAATAAGTCAAAATTATATAGACAAAATAATAATAATAATAATAATGTAACTACCATTATTATAAATAGGTAGGTGGATTTAAAAGCTATATTGTTAACCATAATTATTATTATTTCTTGGGTTTAATAAATAGGGCGTTGGATTTAATTCTATGACATAAGCTGGCACCATTATTTTTTTAAGGCAAAGTTAATATTTAATTAAATTTAATAGGTTTTTAAAAAAGGATATTAAGCTAAAGTAGAGTATCTTGATTTAAAAAAAAGAAAGAAATTAGGAGAAAAAATCCAGAAGAACGAGGGGCATATTTAAAGCAAGGAACGGCGGAGTGTCGGAGCTTTCCCGATAAGCCCGGTGAACCCCTCCCTAAATAAATAAAATAAAATAAAAATAAAAAAGGAAAAATAAAAATAAAAGAAGTGAAAAATAAACTCACACTTATTCCCTTCTTCTCCATTTCTGCAGTTCTTCTCTTTCATTTCACAATTCTCTTTCCTTGTCTCTCTCGATTTTTCCCGCCGTTTATTTTCTTCTGTCTTCCCGAACTGTGGAATCGAACGTTTTGTTTCAGGATTTGAAGTGAAGACATTATATATTCTTTCTTCTCCATGGAATTCTTCGGTATTTGTAACTGTTACGGTGAGAATTGATTAATCAATCATCTGAACTTCGATTTTGTTGAGTTTAGTTTTTCATTTACTGGTATCGAGACGTGATGTGGTTGGTATGAAATTTTGTGTTACTTGTAGTTGCAGAAAGCGGAGGAGAAGAAAATTTCCATGGCAGTACTTGAGATTGAGCTACTTGCAGGATTTTCTGTGTCTTGCATTCTTTTCCCTCGAGGTATATATGTTGTTTGAAGAACGATAACCTAGCTAGAAGAATTTAATCGAGGCTTGGGATTCCGTAGTAGTTAATTTTGTTTTGTGATTGTGTGTTTGATTTTTTGATGGCTCTGTTGAGTTTGTTTTTGGTTCTTGTTTTTGTTTTAAAGTGGAATTTTGAGTATGAAGAAGATGATTTCTACTGTTGGAGAGTAATTTTGGTTCGAGTGATTGCAGATCTGTAGCGTTTTTTCTATGTAGGTAAGCGATTTGAGGAAATTCTAAAAATATATACAAAAACCAAGCTATGTGAATCTAGGTTTAGGTCTTGCCTCTGAGATGTGAACACCTGTCACCCGTATAATTGATGTATGCGTAATCGGTTCCCCGGTCCCAACATTGTCCTCAGCTTGATAAATTTAATAGTTTCTTGTTTGTGCTTGTGTGGATAATTTGGAAACATGAATTTGTTAGTTTTGTTTTGTTTTAAAATCTTAAATATATTTGACGAGTTGTCGTGTTAATGTGAATGTCTGCCATTTTTAGAACCAGTGATGAAGCTTTAAATACTGCGCGAGGGGAGAGTCTTGTTAGCTCAGATCCGTGAGTTCTTGCTCTATAACTCTACTTTTTTTTTTCAAAGATTTTTTCAAGTTCTGTACAGAAAAAGAAACAACGAAAAAAGAAGGTGAGATTAAGCCGTATTTGACAGTGAGAAAGGGACTGAAGGGAGGGAGTTTCTGTTTAAAATGGGTATTTTACGGATTTGTAAAAGCTTATCTTCTTTAAGAAACGCTTTTAAGAGGCGGGGTGTCATTTCTCTCTCTCTCCTTCTGTAGGTTTTAAAACGAGGTTTGCAGACTTGAGGAGGTGAGACTGCGAGGCCTGAGATAGGCAGCGTCTTTTGCCTTTGGAGAGCACACAATTTCTGCAACTTTAGAAAGTTTTGAACGAAAGAGCGGCCTGCTGTGCTGACTACAGATTGCGATATAAAAGAAGCCATTTTAATTACTACACAGACAGCACAAAGTGAAGAAGTAATCCCTGAATTACCAGTCATCAATATGTACAGAATACAAACACCCCACCTGTTGCAGTTCAACATTGGCGCATCATATTTCTCTCTCTAGACAACCTGCACAAAGCCCCTCTTTCCCTCTCTGAAGAGGTGGAAAAAAACAAGGGATAAAGAGCACCTGTCAAAGGTCAAAAGGGGTCTCCATTTACGGATCTTTGTTTGAGTAGTTAAGGAATGAAAGTGTCATGGAGGTGGTGGATAATATTCAAGAACAACCGCGTAAGTTTCCAAGGTTAGCAAATGGTAGAAGTAGCGACTCCACTAAGATAGGATTTAAAGGGGTTGAGAACATTCACCCGGAGGATGAAGAAGACAAAGAATCTAAAAGGGTTGGCGGTAGCACTGCTGGAGTTGGCCGTGGAGGAGCTGATGATGATGCTAATCAGCTCCGTGGGTGGCACCACTCCCGGATTATTAGGGTTTCTCGTGCTTCTGGCGGGAAGGACAGACATAGTAAGGTGTGGACTTCAAAGGGCTTAAGAGACCGAAGGGTTCGGTTATCGGTAGGGACGGCGATTCAGTTCTACGATCTTCAAGATCGGCTGGGTTTTGATCAACCAAGCAAGGCCGTCGAGTGGCTCATCAAAGCTGCCGCAGATGCAATAACGGAGCTGCCTTCGCTGAATACCTCTTTTCCAGAAACTCCGAAGCAGCTGAGTGGCGAAAAGATTAGTGCTACTGATCAACCCGGGCCGTTCGACTTAGCCGAGCAGAATCAAAGCCAATTACATGTTTCTCTGTCCAAATCTGCTTGCAGTAGTAACTCTGAAACCAGCAAGGGTTCAGGTTTGTCTCTCTCGCGATCTGAAGTTCGAGTAAACCGCCTCAAAGCTCGGGAAAGAGCAAGGGAGAGAGCACAAAAGGAAAAGGAAAAAGAACAAGACTCCTCTCGCATTGCCGATCATAATCTCACCTCCATGACCCAAAACTCATCTTTCACCGAGCTACTCGCTGGCTGTGCTGCAACCGTTTCAGCTCATGGGGACGCTGGCGTGGCGGCTGAAAGGCAGTGGCAGCCGTCGACCGTTGCGATGGATTACTTCAGCTCGGGAATTCTTGAGACGTCCACTTCTAGATCTCATCACTCTTCAGGCTTTTCCGAACAAATCAATTTGGGAACTTCTTTGCCACAAACCATGTCAAGCACTCCCTTATTTAATAGCGTCTCAGCTGGTGACAATAATACAGAGCAGCTTCATCATTTCTCATTTGTTCCCGATGGCAATATAGTTCCCGTGGTCACAACTCAACCGACCGGTGGCAGCGACTACAACCTCAACTTCACTATCTCTTCCAACCTTCCGGGTTATTATAGGGGGACCCTTCAGTCCAATTCATCTCTTTTGCCTCATATCCAGAGGTTTTCTCCTGTTGACGGATCTAATTTACCTTTCTTCTTCGGAGCGGCGACATCGGCTGCTCCACCACTGGAAAATCATCACCATTATCAGTTTTCGCCTGCATTTGACGGCCGTTTGCAACTCTGCTATGGAGGTGGAAACCGTCAGTCAGAACCGAAAGGAAAAGGAAAGAACTGAACTCTTCGCAAAGCATATTTCTCTCAGCGTATCTTCTTCCTGGTAAGCTTCAAAACTTGAGAACGCTATTATTTTTCTTTTTAAATTTATGTATTCAAATATTTATGTTATTCTTAATAGCATTGGCCGTTTGATTTCTTCTTGAAAAATGTAGAGCATTGGACAAAGGTTTGGTTATGGTCTCGAAAAAAATAAAATCCCCAAAAATGAATCCTGTCTAGATTACTGTGAATGGTATGGTTGGATATCACCTAGGTTGTTTCTCTCCTCTTGTTGCTTCCTCTTCTCCCTAGCAACGAGTAAGGCGAGGCTTTCTATTTGTTGTGCCATGTGCATCCCAGTTAGTGGAAATAACGCACTTCTATAGATTTTGCTTTATATACTTGAGAGCCAAACGGCCGTTAATCGGCGAGGGTGCCTCGGGCCCAACTATTCTGTCGTCCCTTCTCTAAGTGTTAGATGTTCGAATGGGTCTCGACTCTGGGAAATAAATGCTCTTTTCTCATTGAGACTACGATAACCCGACTTAAAACTCTGGAAACTCCATGCACGTACACATGGACATAATAATGGCTGCTTTCTGCAGTTTTTTTCTCTTTTGATTTATTTTACTCTACACTAGTTGATGTCAGTATGAGATCTTGCTTCGGCAGTCAGATTATCACAGTTGATAGGACCTTTCTTTATTACTCTACTCAACTCAAATTTTGCCATTAAAAAAAATAGAAGTGTTATATTTGGCCAATAGGAAGAGCGTCACGCATTTTCATGTTTGACTGAAGATATTTTGTGCATAACTTGATAGTGTTATCATATGGACATCATAATTCGTTTCGACGTGACCTACCATATAGAATTGTTCCCTTTCTATTTAAGTTGTTTCAAAAGAATCCTTAAAAGTAAAATGGAAAACCGAAAACAGAAAAGTGATTTGACTATGACTTATATGACTATATAAAATAGTATTATATATTGAAAGTGGTAGGTTTCAATTACTTTCCTAACTTTTAGATGTGTCACAATTATACTGGTAAAAATTTTCAAGTTGTTTTTTTCCGCCCATCTTTATGACTCCTGCCTACTATGCCACGACATCATATAGAAAGAGTCGTAAATGGAGTTGTATTCCTTTGTTAGTAGATTTGATTGTCTTAAAAATGTTAGTAGAGTTGATCATTGCTATCCAATTAGGATATAAGATTTGGATATAAGATGCGGTTTGAAGAGCTTAAATGCTCTTTCAAATAGGTTCCCCGTATATCTGAAGTTGGCTTTATCTGAATAGAGAGATGGCGTTTGACCCCGGATATAGGTTATTTGAAATCAATAGAGGTGATTCGTGTGGATAGGTGTTAAATGCTTTGGTTTCTAGAGCTATTTAATTTTAACTTTTATATTTTTAAATTCTCTTTTGGTCCCTAGATTTTCATAAATGTCTTTAACCTTTTGTATTGCACTATTATAAATCTTTTATCTCATATGTTAAATAATAACAACATTAACCGAAAGTCTTTAGCACTTCAAAAGATAAAAATTAAAGAATACACATGAATTTTGTAATGTATATACTTTCTTTTATTCAAGAACTATTTAAGAGTAGCTCTTAAAATATGTATTCAAATTCTATGAAAGTTCAGAAAATTTGTAAGACTCATTGAAATTTGCACTGTGAGTGTAAAATAAAACTTTTATGCTTCAATGCCTGTGGTTTCATGTAAAAGGTGTAATTTGCAAATGTCGAGTTATTTGTAGTAATATCTACTCTTTTGAATTTGCTCATGATTCAAAGATTATTCTATTTTCTCCTATCCGTAACCTCTTCAAGAATGGCTGCATTAAAAATAAGTCCCATTTGCAAAACACTAACTTGACCATTTTAGTAAAAATAAGCCTCACCCTAGGGAGGATGAGAAACTTTAGCCCTGGATATGCTAAATTTAGTAAACTCTAACCCCATACCTATAGCTCAGGCACAAGATTCTTCTTTACTATTTTTAAGTTCCACTATTTTTAGTCCACTTTGACCTTTTCAGCTTGAGTAAACCAATATTCTTCTCCTAAGAGCTTGAAAACGTCTAAGATATCTGTTACATTTGTGTTGGACCTAATTAGAAGAATTGTCATTATTATATCTAATTTTTCATTTTAGAGACTACTTAAAGTGGTTACTTGTATATCTTAACTTGTATTGTAGACTTTTGTCAGTCCACTTTCTGATTGCATTTTACAAGAGCTCCCATTTCCTATGAAAAAAAAACATGTTCGTTTAAGATAATGAAAATAATGTTTGAATGATAGGAATATGAAAGCGCAAGAAGGAAGACTAGAAGCTGAGGCAGGTTCTGCTGTTTGGTTGCACCACGGGATAGGTTTCAGTTTAAAACGTAAGTATTTGGTGTCTGGAGAACTCTTTGCCAGATTTTGAATGTAATTTCCCTTATTGTTTCACGTGTGGTGTTGAAATCTTTGCTAGCTTTGTTTTGATAGCTGTTATTTGCGGTGTTTTGAGCACTTGAATTTTCCTTAAATTTCTCCCCTTGATTTGCGGGTTGTTTTGTATTGGTTTCTTATTGAATAAAACCCCATCGTCTAAACAGATTAGTTCAGAGAAAAACCTGTTTTTTTTTTCCTTCTCTTTTCTGGACTAATCTGTGTTTTCCCCTGATTATATAGAAGATTATTTAGTTAGATGGGATTGAATGATTAAGAGACTCCAAATACGAATATCTTGAATTCCTTGACTGAAAGTACAACTACCTCATGGATGAAAGTAAACAGAATCGGCCATTGTTAATCAACTTGCTTGATTATGTTTTAAGCTGACTTTTGATTGCTTTTAGCATACATATACTTCAATTACGAACACTTTGATGAAGAGTGCATCACTCTGATATTTGACTCTACCCATTAAAAGGTGATTTATTGTGCTGCTAGTTTTCAGCTCATTAGTACTCTGAACATCAGTACTTTACAAATGTTCTCTCACATGGCATTAATATGCATTAGGCTTTATTTTGGGAACTTTCAATGTGATCCCAAGAATGATAATTATAGGTCTGTTTTAATTATTTAGCAATGTTCACGTCTGGCTTAGTGATGGTGAGATAGCTAGCTTTCATTGAACTAACCATGTGTTGGCCAAGCAATCGCCAAAACATCCAATTGTCTTTTGCAGGCACACGGTTTTTATCGATAATAATCAATAATCAATTCTAATTCCATGTGATCAACAGTTCAGAAGCAGAATCCACGGACAGCTAATTTGCTGTCAGACCAATAATGATGGGTTATTATGAACTTAATTATTCAACATGTTTGCCCACAAAATGGTCCAGCAAACAATGACAGGCAGTGATTATAGGGGACATTAGGAGTTCCTGCCCCCCAAATCTCCCTTTCGAAACCTTAATTATTTTATTCGTCACTAGTATTTGATAGCTTCTTTCAATCCATAACGAACAAAGTGCAAGTCACTATCACTCTGCAATAAATCAGTCCTAAACGCGCAGTGGACAAAGACTCTACAGTACTCTAAAACCTTTTCACATCAGAGGAGATTGTTTTTCAAAACATACATCATGCGCCATTGTCCACTTCACACTTGTTCGGTGTTCATCGTTTCTTCTTGGCTAAACTATAAAAAATGTACCTAAACTTTGTCCTTCATTTGAAAACTTTCACATTACCTTCTATTCGCTCAACATTCTAATAATTGTTTGAAATTTTTTTGAAACACTTGTAAAATGTCGAGTATCAAATATTGACGTTTGAAAGTAAAACAGACTAAAGTTGTCATAATTTAGTTTTTATTCTTCTATATCTTTGTATGAAAGAACTAAAAAAGCACACCAAAAATGAGATGTACGATCCTGATTAACCTTTGGCAACATCAAGTATTTTTTTTAATTTTTTTTCCTCTGGCTCAAATCTAGCTCCTTTCTTCCCACTCGCTTTGGCTCTCTTTCTGTATTCTCTCAGCGGGAGAGGAGCTGCCGTCGACGAAGGATCACCATAAGAAGAACACAAATAGCAAGTGGGCGAGGGGGGGCCATCAACCGAGTCAGCTATACAGATGAAAAGGATAGGGAAGAGGAAGGAGCGTGAGAAAACAAAAAGGGAAAGAGGATAAAAACGAGTGGGGTAAGGAAGCCATTACATTGAAATGTAGACCCTCCTCCTTCCAGACAAGTCTATTTTGACCCTAAACTATTTGAGGCTTCCAATGCCAAATTTAAGGTAGCTGAAGAATTCAATAAGGAAAGGTCATTGAATTCCGGCACTGAAGTTCCAAGGTTTCAGATTTGAGGATTTCTACCAATAATTCAAAAACTCCTTAATGAATTAAGAGTGTGTAACATGACAATTCAATTAGGATGCAATTAATTGATAGAACTAAGATCATATTCACATATAAGAAAACATAAGACTACACAACAAGGGCTTTTACAACATCATCTCTATTTGTATTTTTTGCACTTTTTCAAGTACAACGAATAAAGACCAAGTAGAGGAGGGAGGGATGTCAATTATCTCACTCTAATTCCTTCCAATCTAAAATCAACCATGAATTAGCTGCTGAGAATGCTGCATTGCGATTAGGTTTCCTCATACATGGGCACTTTGGGGATCCATGAAACAAGGTGTTTCCGCCAATCCTACCTTCCAAAACATGCACTCCCCCCACACTATCAATCTTCCCCTTTATCTGGATATTGGGTACAGGGATTTAAATGATAAACAAAAAGTGAATGGAAAGAACGAAAAAAAGGGCTAAATGAATACAGAGTTCATAAAGAATGCAGAATATAGAAATTGAATTTTGGGATAATGACCTAAAACAAGCCATTCTGAACTAATTCGTCACATTGAACTCAAGTGTTAACTCTGAATCAAATCTTAGTCAGATTTAACGACTGCCCTGTATATTATTTCCCCATCCACCCCAGCAATATGAACGTTTTGTTCAAGTACCAAAGACCAAGTGAATGGTTAACATCTACAAATAGAACATAAAAATCATGGCAAACATTTTTATACTTCGACCCAACGACCTCACAGTATAAAAATTACATATGTTGAACTAACAACTCGCCCAATTTAATATCCAGATTATAAGGAACATGTCTCCTTGTAAATTGCGAAAATTTTAATTAGAAAAATCTAAGCAGGCCTGCACAATTAAAAATATAAGAGAATCTACAGCATAATTAGTTGCCAACACAAACATATAGTGATTGACCAGGAAATTGATAGATACCCCACAACCAGGCTTCCTTAACAATCCTAGTGAACCAATAACTATATTTTATTAATTTGGGGGTGAGGCATTTGGAAGCTGAAAGAGAAATACCTCAGATCCAGTTGAAGTTATCAGAAAGAATTCATTTCAAGACAGTAAGTTCTCCTCTTGACCAGTATCTTTGCTGCGGTTCCATAAGGTTCCTCAAAAGCATTTGAAAGCCATGATCCATCAGAGGCATCTTTCTTTGTCATTGACTGCTCACTTGGACGTATAGCAACAAGTGTAGCCCCCTTCAGAATAGTCCCACCAGGTAATTCCAAGTGAGGTGCATACCAGAGCCTCATATTCAGAGCAGGGACAAGCGTCCTCTTCGAAGCGGTTGAAGCCGATAAGGGCTTTACTCTCAACTCCTCAAGCTGATCCTTGTTCATACACAACATGCCCTGTCCATCTGCATCAGTCAAAACTAAATTATCCAGAGTTTTATGTTCTGCAATAATCGGCTGCAGTAAATAATGCCTCGCCGAAGCCGCAATTAGAGAGCTAATCGTCCAAACTACTCTTAATTTTAGCCCTCCATTAGTATAAAACGATTCGGGTATACTCCCGCTGTCATCGGCAGCTGCACCATTTCCAGAGCAGAACCCATCAGTTCCATTCTCTTGAACGTGCTTATTGAAGGATCCAGTGTGAATCACCGACGCGGCACCCAGGATCACACAATTATCCAAAGTTGATCCGAAATCAGCTCGCCATTTCAACAATATCCCGTCGTCAATACCCAATTCGCCGCTAGGAAGCTCGATCCGAAGGAGCCGAATCTCGTTAAAATTCTTTAGAACCTGTGTAGGCGAGTGATGGGTAACACCACTTTGACCACCCTCCCCATCCTCTTCCCTCCCAACCGCAAGCGAAGAAGTTGACAAAGACGACGAAACAGAACTCAACACAGAGGAACTCACCCGTTTCGGACCCAAAAACTGACCTATAGCCTGAAGCGGCTTGACAATGCCTCCAAGAACCATACGAAACAGGTTCGAAAAAGCACTTCGAGACTTCTCAGCAGACGAAGAGCCGGACGAGAAATCATCATCAGAAATCACACAGTCAACTCGAACAACAACGTTATCAACCTGAGAGACGATCGAGTGGAATCTTCGAGAAACTGCACGGCAACGTCCAAGGGCCTTAACGTCACCGATCCTATTGAAAATCAGCAGCAGCAGGGGGTCAGGAAGAAGATCAAAGTAATCCTCAGTGTAGCTACAACGGCTATAGCTCTGGCCAAGAACGTCTTCGTCGAGTATGGAATACATTCTAGAGTGCGGATCGGGGCGTAGATAAGAACAGGACATTGTCAAGAGTGAAAAAAGAACGGATACCGCTCAGATCAGAGAAAAAGAAATTGAAAACTGAAAAGTTCGTGAACAGCGAGATGGATCTCAAACGAAGTGCGGGAGCATGATCGGAGCTTCGGCAACAGAGAGAAAGAAGAAGAAACGGATGAAACCCTAATTTTATAGGTCAAGAGAGAGATAGGAAATGGTGGGCTGAGATGGATCCACGATTTTGTCCTTATGGACCGAAAATTAATATATTCTGTTAGTGAGAGCAATATTCGGAGAAAATTCCATTATTTTGCAATTTTCATGAAATTACATTTTTCCATTTTATTTTATCTTATTTTAAATCGAAAAAGAAAAGCATAAATAAAAGAATGCATAATATTCGCTGTCCTTTATCTTTTAATGAACCGTGTTCTTTTCTTTATTTTCCATTCAAATTAAAACATTATACATTTAAAATTAATTGATTAATACTTAATCCAACCTTAAATATAATTATAATTTAATAAAACCCTTATTAATTTGTATATATTTGTAGGCTGGATGGGGTATAAATATTGTGAGGTGGAAAGTATAGTAATTAATATTAATTATTTTGGACAACTAATTTAACTAATTCATCATTAAAGACTTAATGAATCCGTTGAAACATGACAACTACTAATTATCCAAAGTATTTTTCATAATATAAAAATAACATGTGTATTAGATCCAACAAAATATAATTATAAAAACTTTCCAGTTGTGATAATGAAAATAAAATAAAGCTTTTTCCATTCTTTATTTGTCATGCATTATTTTATTTTATGGATCTCCACATCATTTTTAAACCCACTAATCTTAATGAATAAAATTGAAAATTAAATAAAATAACAGTAATTTTTTTTTAAAAAAAAACAGAATCAATTAATTAACGCGGAAGGGTAAAATTTAAAGGCAATAAATGAGTATGGGCCTTGGCCTTGAATTCTTCAAACACAAATAGACACGTGCTGACCCACACGCAGAGAGAGCCATAAAAGCATC